ATTTTATCGTTCACCTGGATCAGCTGCGAGGGGGGTAACAGGTGTCCGAAACAATATGACAATCATCGGTCACCTGTATAGGCCGCGAGGGGGAGAGGGGAACAGGTGTCCGAAACAATACGGTCCAGATCGCTCGGGAAACGGATCGAACGTCCGAAATAATGTGATTTTCGTCGCTCGCTTGTATAGGCTACGAGGGAGGGTCGAGTGTCCGAAAGGAAACGGCGGCGATCGGTCGTTCGCATCGGCGCGGGTGTGATCGAGCGTCCGAAACAATGTGGCACCGATCGCTCACCTGTATCGGCCGACAGACAGGGGGCCGGCGCCGCTCTGTCGCCTTCACACCTGCACCAGCCTTTCACGTTGGGCCACTCAGCGAGCATGACCCCCCGGGTGATAAGCGATTCGTATCGCTTCTTATCACCTCGACGAAGGTCAATCTACCCGGGGATCGATCCCCCAGGACGACGTCATCGCGGAAGGTGCGTCGGGTGCTCGAGAGATTAAACGAGACCTGGAAACGAGCGGAGAAGCCGTTACGCTCGCTGCGCCGCCCGCCGCATACCAGCGAGGTGCGTGAATGGTCCGCCGAGCTCTGATAACGCCAGGACTCCCAGGTTCCTTTCGCGTCCCAGGAGCCTCCCGCGGTACGGCACAGCGCCAGGGACTCGTCGGGAGGAGGGCGGAGGAGCGGCAGGGCAGGAGAGGCGGAGGAGGGCGAAGGAGCGGGCCGGGGCAGGAGGAGGGAGGAGGGCGGAGGAGCGGGCCAGGGCAGGAGGAGGGAGGAGGGCGAAGGAGCGGGCCAGGGCAGGAGGAGGGCGGAAGGAGCGGGCCGGGGCAGGAGGAGGGAGGAGGGCGGAGGAGCGGGCAGGGCAGGAGGCGAAGGAGCGGGCCCGGGGCAGGAGGAGGGAGGAGGGCGAAGGAGCGGGCCGGGCAGGGCGAGGAGCGGGGCCAGGGCAGGAGGGAGGAGGAGGGCGGAGGAGCGGGCCAGGGGCAGGAGGAGGGAGGAGGGCGGAGGAGCGGGCCAGGCAGAGAGGGAGGAGGGCGAAGGAGCGGGCCAGGGCAGGAGGAGGGAGGAAGGCTCGGGCCAGGGCAGGAGGAGGGGCGGAAGAGCGGGCCAGGGCAGGAGGAGGGCGGAGGAGCGGGCCAGGGCAGGAGGAGGGAGGAGGGCGGAGGAGCGGGCCAGGGCAAGAGGAGGAGGAGGGCGGAGGAGCGGCCAGGGCAGGAGGAGGGAGGAGGGCGGAAGGAGCGGGCCAGGGCAGGAGGAGGGAGGAGGGCGAAGGAGCAGGGCCAGGGGAGGAGGGAGGAGGGCGAAGGAGCGGGCCAGGGCAGGAGGAGGGAGGAGGGCGAAGGAGGCCGGGGCAGGAGAGGAGGGGCGAGGAGGGCGGGACTTAGGGAGGAGGGCGGAGGAGCGGGCCAGGGACTCGTCGGGAGGAGGGTAGGAGGAGGGCGAAGGACGGGCCAGGGCAGGAGGAGGGAGGAGGGCGGAGGAGCGGGCCAGGGACTCGTCGGGAGGAGGGCGAAGGAGCGGGCCAGGGCAGGGAGGAGGCGGAGGAGCGGGCCAGGGGCGCGAAGGAGCGGGCAGGCAGGAGGAGGGAGGAGGCGGAGGAGCGGGCCAGGGCAGGGAGGGAGGAAGGGCGAGGAGCGGGCCAGGGCGGAGAGGAGGGAGGAGGGCGGAGGAGCGGCCAGGGACTCGTCGGGAGGAGGGCGGAGGAGCGGGAGGGGAGAAGGAGGGCGAAGGAGCGGGCCGGGCGGAGGAGGAGGAGGGCGGAGGAGCGGCCAGGGCAGAGAGGGCGGAGGAGCGGCCAGGGACTCGTCGGGAGGAGGGCGAAGGAGCGGGCCAGGGCAGGAGGCCGGAGGGCAGGAGGCAGGGGGAGGCGAGGCCGGGGGCAGGAGCGGAGGAGGAGGGCGAAGCGGAGGAGCGAAGGGCGGGGCCAGGGCAGGAGGAGGGAGGAGGGACGCCGCAACCTCCTCCTCCACCGAAAGATTTGGAATGGCTGCTATTGCTACTTCAGCTAAACGATTCTCTGGTCTCTGTCTCTCTTGTCTGTCTGTCTCTGTCTCTGGTCTCTTTGTCTCTCTGTCTGTCTCTGTCTCTGTCTCTGTCTCTGTCTCTGTCTCTGTCTCTGTCTTGTCTCTGTCTCTGTCTCTGTCTCTGTCTCTGCTGTCTCTCTCTTCTCTCTCTCTCTCGTCTCCTCTCTCTCTCTCTTCTCTCTCGTCTCTCTCTCTCTCTCTCTCTCTCTCTCTCTCTCTTCCTCCTCTCTCTCTCTCTCTCTCTCTTCTCTCTCTCTCTCTCTCTCTGCTCCTCTCTCTCTCTCTCTCTCTCTCTCTCTCTCTCTCTCTCTCTCTCTCTTCTCTCTCTTCTCTCTCTCTCTCTCTCTCTCTCTCTCTCTCTCTTCTCTCGTCTGTCTCGTCTTCTGTCCTTTCTTCCTTCCTCCTCCTCCTTTCCTCCTTCCTCCTACTCCTCTCCCCTCCTCCTCCTATTCTTCTTCCTCCTCCCTCTTTCCTTCCTCTTTCCTCTCCTCCTTCTTCCACCTCCTCCTCCACCTTCCTCCTCTCCCTCCTCCTCCTCTTCCCCTCCTTCCTCCTCCTCCTCCTCCTTCCTCCTCCCCCTTCTTCATAGTTCTAAGAAACAAAATAAAGAGAATAAAAAAAATCAACATAACAACAATAACAAACAAAACCAAAACCAACCAAACCAACAAATAAAATCGACGTAAAACAAAACAAAGCAACAAACAAAATGAATAAAAAACAACCAAATAAAAACAAAATATATAGAAAATAGATAAAAAATAACTAAATAAATAAATCCAAAATAGATATAACACAACAAACAAAATATATAAAAATAACGAACTAATTAACAACAAACAAAATAGATAAATAAAAAACAACAAAGAAATAGAAAAAATAAATAAAAAAAAAAATATGGATCTGTCTCTACCCGCGCGACTGGCAACACTGCGCGTCTCAATATGGCGGCTCCGTTTAGGCTCGGTCTCCCTCCTGGCGACACGCGCTTTTTCTCTTCGTCTTTACGCTTTTCGTGGAAGTTAACGAATTAGGGAGAGATTAAGAGAGAGAAAAGGGGGTGGGGGAGATGGAGATGAGGAGATAGAAGGAGGAAGTGGGGTTTTTAGAAGGAATTAGAAGAGATATGCGGTGGATGGGAAAGGGAGGGGGAGGGGGAGGGGTAATGTTGGGGGTACGTGCGTAATTATTGTTGTTACTGTTTGTTTGTTTATTTATTTAGTTTGTCTTGATTTATTTGGTTTGTCTTATTGTTTTATATTAGATTTTTTAATTAAAATTGTTTTAGATTTAAGTGAAAGACTCTTGATATATGTTTTATTCTCAATAACAACGCTCACCTGAAAAATGATAATAACAAAAATTCGAAATAAATTCCTAAACCGTTAACAGATTAAAACAAGTTTGAGTTTATTCCCGTTTTTGAAAAAAAAGTAAGAAAAAGAAAAAGAAGGAGAAGAAGAAGAAGAAGAAAAAGGCAAGAAAGAGAAGAAGAAGAAGAAGAAGAAGAAGAAAAAGAAGAAGAAGAAGAAAGAAGAAAATATATTATATATTACATATAAAATATAATATATATATATATATATATATATATATATATATATATATATATATATATATAATAAGAAACAATCGATACTGTATATATTGTTCACTAATATGAATATGATACGATATGATAGATTGGTGAAACCATTTTAAGGGAAAAATCTTTTAATTAACCCGTAAATTTAGATTATTTTTGTTGACTATTTTTGATTGAAAGAATTAGCCTTTGACCTTTCTAAAAAGTAATAAGAATTATAAAATTGAATCTTATTATTAACAAAGATTTAGATTAAGATACATCCCCCCTCTTCTCTTTCTCTCTCTCTCTCTCTCTCTCTCTCTCTCTCTCTCTCTCTCTCTCTCTCTCTCTCTCTCTCTCTCTCTCTCTCTCCTCTCTCTCTCTCTCTCCCTCTTCCTCTTCTTCTTCTCCTCCTCCTCCTCCTCTCCTCCTCCTCCTCCTTCTTCTTCTTCTTTCTTCTTCTTCTCTTTTATTTCTTCTTCTTTCTTCTCCTTTTTTTTTCGAAATCAAATCTTTTCCGAACAAAATTTGTCCTATTTCGAATGAATAGAGACAAAGAGAGAGAGGGGGGAGGGAGGGAGGCGAAGGAGTAGGATGCAGAGCAGCAAGGGAAAAAGGAGGGAGAGAGAGAGTGGGAAGGGAGAAGAAGAAAAGAGAGAGGAGGAGTGGAAGAGGAAGATGGGAGGAGGAGATGGGAGGCAAGAGGGAGGAGAGAGGAGAGAGGGAAGAGTAGAAGAGAGAGCAAGGAAGGGAGGAGAGAGAGAGGGAAAGAGGAAGAGGAAAGAGGGCGGAGGGAGAAGGATGCGAGGGAGATGGGAGGAGCAGGCATTGGGAGGAGAGGGAGAGAGCAGAGGGGAGGAGGGCAGCGAAGGAATGAAGAGAGAAGCCAAGGGAAAGGGGATGAGAGAGAGTGGGGAAGAAGGAGGAAGAGAGAGAGAGTGGGAGATTGAAAGGAGGATGAGAGATGGGAGGAAGANAGAGAGAGAGAGAGAGAGAGAGAGAGAGAGAGAGAGACATCGATGGGTACTGAAATAAAGGCATCAGTATATATATATACAATTGCGAATGCTTAAATAATTCATGGTCTGTGTTTTCATATACATTTGTGGGTTATTTTGGGTAGATAATCAGTTCATCATTTAACATCTTATAAGTTTTATAACGACATAATATTCTTTAAAAATCCAAAGATACATAACCAAAGACTACATAAGTGTAGATCAAAGTCGACAAACTGTGTTGAAAAATATAATGCCTCATATAACCTATCATACGATGAATAGTTATCAGACGATCAGATCAAGTGAATACTTGCTAATGAATTATTGTCGATTATTATCACCAAATTGGTAAAACATACCAACATGTAGAATAAACGTATTTCTCAATCTCTACCTAAACACCTCAAACAGTGTCGGATACAGAGGCATCCACACGGGGAAGCAGACGACGCCCGGTTTTATTTTCTCCTCAACAAATCGCTAATTTTCACCCAGTTTACGGCACCTGAACCCAGGGAAGAAGGCAGCAATCATGTTTCGTATGGCCGCCCCACGACTGGATGCTGCCGAGGAGAAAAGGAGAGCCATGGAGGAAGATAAATTAGCTAGGAAGATCGTCTATTCGAATTTCGGGACTTTCGTCGTGACCATAATGCTTATCAAAGCAGGTGAGAGGCCTTTATCGGGCTTGTTTTCCGCCTGGGAGATTCGGGTTTCGTCGTTTCGCTGACCTGCGATGATTTTTATTCATATTTTTAATGGTGTTTGTTCCCGAGAGCGACGCACTCTCCAGAGACTAAAGCCAGGGTATCCTGCGAACCCAAAGACCCAAACCTAACCTCTCCCACTTTCTTTTTATTCCATAGACAGGGGATGAGCCCCTCTGTACACCCGATTTATCATCACTTTGTGCCAGCTTATAGAAAATGCGAAATTAAGAACCCTGTCTGTGTCATCTTCCCCCCGCCCTCGTCCTCCTGGTCAGGTCTCCGCAAACCCTTTGAGCACTTTTTTTGGCCCAGCAAAATGGGTTCGGTTCTTTGTGATTCCCCCAACAGACCCTTACTCTGACAATACCCATCTCTTCCAGTAATGTTTCCAAAAGCAAGTAGGCAAAGTTTCCTTTCACAGGATATCTGATCATTAACGCACTGTGACAGTTACATCTGAGTCCCAAGCTCCTGCACTATCTACCCAGACTGACCTCACTGGTGAACATACTCCTGCCGAACATCATTCCTTTCTTAATACTTAAGCTTATAATTGTTTCCTTCTCCCTGACTGATTGTCCTATCTATAACAAAAACTTGTCAGACAGTGAAAATCTTCTTGCCTGCCATACTAAGTTACAGTGGCAGTGGAGTGCTACACTATTCCTCTCAGAGGACAGTGTGAATCTTACTCCAAAATTGCCAAGATTAGCTTCTGTAGACATGACCTCCCCCATGTTTATATTGTTGGATTGTCCCACCATGTCCAACCATATTGACCCCTTCCTTGTTAGTGTCAGAAATGTTGGCGTTTTGTCCACCCAGCCAAACACTCGCTCCACAGCCCTTTCCTCTGTATGTACCTAACCTGGTCATGACCGTTCAAATTGCCTTGCTCAGTCACACACGTGCCAATTGTGGTGGCTCCCATAATGTATTTTATAGGTGCTGCCCTGCCAATAAGCTCGAATGTGTGGTAGCAGTTCTCAGTTTCAAATTAGTCCTCACTCTACACAAGGCAAGACAGGCAGCGCAGGAGCGTGGTTTTCTCTCTGTACTTATTCTGAAAATGTCCTTCACTCTGCTTCTCTCCCATCTTCTCAAGATGTCTCAGCATCTCCAGTATCTCTTCCCTCTACCTCGAACCATCCTGCCTCTTCTCCCCCTCTCCCCCAGTCAAATTCCTTTTCCAGTCTAAATCCAGATACTCCAATCTCTACCACTTCCCCAATTCCTACCCCTCCTCCTCACTTTACTTGCCGCACCAGGCGACCTAAACTTTCCACTCCACCTTGTCCTGCCACATCCTCACCTACACTTTCCTCTTCCTCTGATTTCTCCCCTCTTCTCCTCCTTCTAAGAGAACTTTTGTTTCTCAGTCCTCTTCACCCAAATCCCCTCCAGAAATGCTTGAAGACATCCAAAACTTCCTAAAGTTGACACAAGGAAACACTACTCCCTCAACTACCCTCCAGTCCCTCTGTTCCCTCTACATTTAAAGTATTTGCCGATATCCTCCTGAAGTTTCCCCCGTCCCCCTTCCTCCCAACATACCCCATCCTCTCTACTGCTCCCACCTGAATGCGCACACAAATCCCTTCTGTCCTTCTCCTGACTCCTCCCCTCCAGACATTCGTTCTTTCCCCTTTTCACAACCATACTATCTTTTAATGCTCTCTAATCTTTGACATCTAACACATTTTATCCTAATCTTTACCCTTTTCACCACAGTACCTTACCATAGTGCTATATGACCTTTGATGTCTTGCACATTTATTTGTTTCAACCATTAACCATTATGCTCTATTAGATGGCAGTGTCCATTTCCCTCCATCATTGTGCGTCACTCTCTTTAACTTTAACCTTTTTTTCTGTCTTAGAATGTTTCAGGGTGTAAAAGTGATGTATGGTGAGAAGCACTTTTTATGTACCTTTGTTTGGTTTTGAATCCTTTTATGCTAAAAGGTCTCATGTTCAATAATGTTTGCTTAGCCAATTCATGCAAAAAAAATTGAAGAGACCCTCTGGTATCCCCCAAAATCCCATAGCAACGCCCTTAGAAATGAAGATGCAAATTCAGTGGTCTTCGGTAATCCCTGGTTGTGACGTCATTCCCAGGACCAGGGAGAATCTTGTTGAATAGCGTGATACACACAGTGCACCTGCGAGTCAAGGATATCATGGAATTGTCCCAGTTATTATATTATTTTCAAATTTCCTTTTTTACTCTTATTAGAGAAATGGTTTGCGAGCTAATTCTCCCTTTTTAAAAGTTTCAGTTGTTACTTCACATAAGCCCTTTAATAGTAAAGAAAATAATCTTGCAAATAATCCTTTTATCATAAATGGTAAAATTATGACTTGCAATATTACAATAAGAACTATTACTAATGTTTTTTTTTTTTTTGTTTTCAGCTCCATACCTTATAGAGAGGTTTTCCTAATGAAGAGGAGCAGAAGAAAGAAGTATCAGCTCACAGATGTTTTATAAGAGAATTAGAGAATGGGGCAGTACTGATTGTTTTTATGCAAATGTACTTTTGTAATAAATAAGAAAAGAAAAATACTATGCTTTGTCTATTCATTTCTTTCCTGAATTTTAGTCAATTTAGTATTATTTAATAAGTGTGAATATTTTTCATTCCTCTTTTTACAGTTTTTTTCTTTTAAACACATGGAAAATGAAATATACCAAGAAATCAGTTGTATATCAACTGTAGATCATCTTCCCACAAACATTCTGAAAATCGACCTGGGGAATTATGGCAAATTACAGGCGAATTAAATACTATATTGATCCATGATAGAAAGGGTATTGCATAACATGTGGGAATATTTTTTTCTTTCTGACTTAATACTATTTTTGATCAATGTTTATGAAGTAAATACTTATAATTGATAAAAAAATGCTCAGAAAAGATATAATACAGAAATATAATGCAGGAAATACACAATTTGTTATATTTATCCTATTAACATCTTACATGAATTGGTATTAGACAATTTCTTCCCAGTGCAGAGTAAAGAGGAAATAAATATACTGCCTCAATGACATAATCTTTAATTGAATATAAAGAGGACTCTGATCACAGGGTATAGTGGTGGTGTCAACAAGTCACAATATATCATTCATAAAATTCATGGATATGACAACATAACCACATAATGAAATAGTAACTATGAACTTGTTACTTAATCAAAATTCAAACCAGATATGTGAATAATGTAAGCACAATAATACAGCTCTTCAAGCATGTAGAACTAAAGCTTGACTTATACCCCCTACATAAATAGCACTGTTAGTTTCGACAGATGCTTTGGGATCTTACCCTGGCTTTTTGCAGGGTATGTACACTTTTGTCAATAAATTTTATTAAGTCCAATCCATTCTCTTACCCTCTCTTTAGTCCTCTCTCTCTCTCACTCTTTAGCTCTATTTGTTTGAAGTACTTTTAGTATTAAGTCACCAATGAGCCAGTTACAAATATTACATGTCTCACAGTCTCAGCTGTTTCTCCTTTTCCTTGATTTTCGAAAATATTTTCTGGTATCTAATATTGCTGTTAGTGATCTATAATAACACTATAGTAATTATAATGTCTATGATGAAGATAACATTATGAATATTGATAGCATTAACAACAACAACAAAAAAGTCCCACAAACTTAAGGAAAAGTGAAATCAGGTCACAAGGTCTACCAATTGACTCCTTTGTGGCTAAGCTCTTGCAGAACCATCTATGTACACAGATATTTCACAAAATAATACTACAGTGAACACAACACTCTCCAGGAAGCATTGGGTTAAGATATACTGGTACAGCCAGTCAAAACTCTTGACAAACATGGTTCAGTTTCTGTTTCAAACATCTGCCTAATACCACACTTTTTGCATAGGGTAAGACAAATTTGAAGCTTCAATTCATTAAAAGACTTTTGTCCACCACTGTACTACATTGCATGGTCCTGGTTCTTCATGGTGCTAATCTGTCACAGGATGAAATTCCTATATGAGAGGGTATCCATTGTAGTTACACTTGTATATCCTACTCTGACAGTCTGAAAATTTGGTGAAGGTTATTCCCAGCTACTGTTTTTGAACAAACTCCAATGCATCTATCAAGTGCACTATTGCTGTCAAAAAGGACAGCTAGGTATCACTGCTGTTCAGTATCTTTTTTTTTTATGGCTACTGATTTGTACTTGCCCAGTTGTTAATTCACATTGTTTCTTTAAGATCGGTGTCAGGCATTAATTACACCAATCTCTGTTGCCCCATGAAGATCTGGAGAGATATCACAGTAAATTGCAAGTGGGAGAGTGCAGTGTGGGGGATGGAGAATTTTATCTGTATATTTCAAGTAATGACCTTTTAGTTCTGTTACTGAAGTGGTGGATTTAGGCTATGTTAACCCACCATTTCCTAGAACATTTTTGTGTTCACTGTAGTATTGTTTTGTGAAATGTCTCTGCACATAGATGGCTCTGCAAGTCCTCGGCCACAAAGGAGTCGATTAGTAGACATTACCTCACTTGATATAATAGGTGATAATGGGAGTTTGCTTTTTTATTTATTTATTTTTTTTTACTAGTGCCATCAACATTGATGCTATTATTAGTATAACCATTATAAATATTATAATGTTATTGATATTACTAACTTCAATATAAGATACCAGAAAATATTTTGAAAGTCAAGAATTTTAAGCCCAGGTGCAGTAAGTGGTGTTTCTATGTTGATAGCATCAATGTTTCACACACTGAACCTGAGAATAATCAGGGCAGTTTGGGCTTTCCATTTTGAGTTGCATGTCTAACTCTACAATTAATCGCATTTGACAAAACAAAATGGAATTTGCGGTCTGGAAAGAAGCTACAGGAGTCTGATGCCAAGAATTGTGTTGACTTGGGCCAGAAATAAAGCAGCCATAAATTATTTACATGGCCTTATTTAACCCCAAGCTGCCAGGCATGGCATGTACTTACATGCCTTGCCCATTGTGTGGGTGCTGAATTTAGTAATTGTTTATACATATAGATGGCTCCACAAGTACTGTCACCAATGAGCCAATTATGCGATCTATGTCTCACCTATATTATCCTTTTCCTTGATTTTTGATTATATTTTCTAGTATTTAATACTGCTGTTGGTAATGTCAGTAACAATATAGTAATTATAATGATTATAACAAAAATAAGAGTCAATATTGATAGCATTAGTAAAAAAAAAGCCAAAGGGAAAGCACCATTTTCCCGTTAAGAGTTTGAGAGCATTTGGTGGAAATGTACCAAGAACCTGGCTTGGTAGTTAATCTAACAAGAGAAATAAACATAGACCATATGACTTCACTATGTTTCAGTTATTTATATATTGTAATGGTCTTAAATGCACCAAGCAACATTCCTTGATGAAGAAAAGTCATTACTGCCATTTAGGTACGGTGCTAAACACATTTCTGATCTGGTGGAGTAGATGAGTGCGAAGAATTCTCTCACAGGTTTTAGAGGAACAATGTCAGAGGCATTGTCTATATCTATCAGGGGGTCTTGCTTTTGGAATGTGAATGATAGTTGCATGTTTACAAGTAGTATGCTTGCGTGGAGTATTGGTTAAGTTGAAGAGATCAAGAAGAGGATTTTAATTTCCTTGTACCTTTACAAGAAGTTGGATCACGTCATAAGTGATTACATCTCCAGGGGTAGTGGATATGCTAGTCTTAATAGCTGAATCAATACATCTAAAAGTTTGCACTGATAGTCAATACAATTTTTGTTTTAATTTAAAAGAGTACCTGAATATGGATAAAGAAGTACTTGCAACATTTATGGAGGACTTTTTGTTTTGCAAAATGGAAGGGTAACCCCTGGAAAGCTAGTTGTTTTATGGCAATCACATGGACTTAAAAACAGGCATTAGGCTTACATGAGCAGCCACTCTGCCAGTTGTGTGGCCTGTAGACTCTATGCCTCCCCTTAGTAATATTGTTTGTAGAAGTATTTTTAGCTATTTTGCCATTTTCCATGAGTCCATATTGCTCATTTGATTAGCTTTATCCAGATGGTAACAGATTCTTTTCCTTGCACAGACTCCATATCATCTCTCTATGTAGTAAATAACTCCATGGAAGGAGGAGGAGGAGAAGGAGAGAGAAAAGGATGAGTTGGAGGAGGAGGAGGAGGANCTGTGGTATTGGATTGTTGTTGTCAGAGCAGCGAGGTAAAACGGGTTTGGGTCTGTAAGAAGAAGAGATAAAGGGAAAAGGAGAAGAGAAAAGGGGAAGGGGGAAGAAGAAGAGAGAAGAGGAAAAAGGGGAAAAGAAGAAGAGAATAGAAGGAAAAGGGTTAGAAGAGGGTTAGGGCATAACAAAGGAATTACGTAGAGCTGATGACGACGGAGGAAAAAAAGAAAGAATAGAAAAGAAAATAAGAAAGCATTTTTTACATATAAGGATAAAAGAATAAGAAGGATTACAGCTGAAATGTAAAAAAAAAAAAAAAAAAAAAAAAAAAAAAAGAAAAAAAAAAAAAGGAGAGACAAAAAAAAAAAACATGAAGGGAGAAAAAAATAAAAGAAAGAGCGGTCGAATATCTGCAGCTGTTCCAAATATCTTAATGGAAAAGCTACGATAATACTTTATAATGAGGTGGAGGAAGGAAATTCAATGGCGGAGGAATAAGGGATAACGGAGGATTATGTTTTGTGAAGAAGGGAAATGAAAAGAAGGATGAGGAGAGAGAACGTAGAAGTGAAAGGAACGAGATGTGAAAATGATAGGAGTGGAGGGAGGGAGGGAGGGAGAGGGAGTGAGGGGGAAAGGGAGAGGGGGAGGGGAGAGAGGGGGGGGGAGGGAGGAGGGAGGGAGGGAGAGGGAGGGAGGAGGGAGAGAGGGAGAGAGAGAGGGAGAGAGGAGAGAGAGAGGAGAGAGAGAGAGAGAGAGAGAGAGAGAGAGAGAGAGAGAGGAGAGAGAGAGAGAGAGAGAGAGAGAGAGAGAGGAGAGAGAGAGAGAGAGAGAGAGAGAGAGAGAGAGAGAGAGAGAGAGAGAGAGAGAGAGAGAGAGAGAGAGAGAGAGAGGAGAGGGGGAGGGAGGGAGGAAGGGAGGGAAGGAGAGAGAGAGAGAGAGAGGGAGAGGGGAGAGGGAGAGAGAGGGAGAGAGAGAGAGAGAGAGAGAGAGGAGAGAGAGAGAGAGAGAGAGAGAGAGAGAGAGAGAGAGAGAGAGAGGAGGGGGGGGGCACAGAAACACTGATAAGGAAACAGAGGCAGATACAGAAGGCAATCTATGCAATTCGTAAATGCACAAATGAAATAACAGTAAATAACTGTAGCAATAAGATAGATAGCGAATCAGAACAAAACGATAATAAACGTAATAAAACGAATATAAAAGAAATTTCACTGAAATGAACCAATCTCATTTCTTTTCTTTTCCTTTTCCTTGAGTTTATACCCGTATATATCACTCTTTTCCCCCTTAAACCCCCTTACAAGCCTCCTTCACCCACACTCACCTACAACCATACTTACCCCTTCCTACCCCCCCTTCATCCCCTGTCATTTCTTTCGATCATACC